GTAGAATTAGGGGATTTCTCACAACTGCCCACACGAGCAGTCTCCTCCTTCCTAACAGGCGAATCAGTCTCAACAGCAGCAGGAGTAGGCCTTGGCGCCACTTTAGTAGCATAGTCCACCTTATCACTCTTCATAATAGCAAGCCTTTCCAAAGGTGAACCAAACTTAACTCTCAACAGACGCATTGGCACTAATTTCGGCAATAGGGGCACGATGGAACCTCTACGCTTAGCAATCTTATTTGTAATTAAACTACCCATCCTTGGCATGGCAAGCGTCACTGGCTTAGATATAGCAATTTCATCTTTCGTCCCCTTGGAAGAAGTCAAGTTAATCATAAGCCTGTGGGTAGCTGGCCAACCCTTACGAGTAGCAGAATAAGTCTTCAGTTTTTTCTCAACCAGTATCTCTTGGGCAGGTAAGGAATATCTTTTTTTTTCCATCTTCATTCATAGTAGGCTTCACGACAACGATCGAGCTAGCCAATGCATCCGCCTTGATCCTCTTTATCTTCTCTCTCAGGAGCAGCCCATATTTCTCCTAGTGAAGAGGATTATGCCGTCAACGCCATTCACGGTACTCAGCATGGGAGCTTAACCTAAGCTGCCTTTTCCCTCAGCAGGCAAGTGGTCTGCATGCCTAGCATTCCAGCAGCCCATGAGACTCGCGACCTTCTTATTTCTCTCAATCACCGGCCTGGCCCGCATCAGGTCCAAGAGCCGAAAGGACATGAGTCATGCAACTCGCCTAACACTGTGCCCCAGCGTCACGATCTGCCGCCCCAGTCGCACAGCTGCCCTTGGCTTTAGCCAAGTCGAGCAGCCCAAGCAGTGGTTTCTGCCACAACATTCCTCAGCCCATGCCGAGACAATTGCTAGCCCTTTCCAGCCGACGTGCCGCACCACCCTAATGGTTGAACCGCCATAGCATTATCCAAAAAGATGACAAGGAAAATTAATTTTTTTCTTACCTTGGTGTGGCACAGAGAAGACAAAGAAAGCAAGAAAAGACTATCATTTGCATGGGCCAGTGTAAAAGATTGCTAGGGGAAGGGGAACAAATATCCTTTAGCTTTCTCTCTCTTGTAGGGAAGAATAAATTTCTTTCTGAAGTTGATTTAATAATCTACTTAAGGTAGACTTAAATAGACTTTAGAAGTAATTTATTTCCCTTTCCTAGTATGATCTAATTTCCAATTAAAGAGGGAATCTACACCAACATAGGAAACAATCCTATGTTTCCTAAAGCAAGAAGATCTTTACACCTGTTACCCTTTCATGTGAGCAGCCTAATAGGTGTAAGGGCATTTGTGGAGCAAAAAATAATCGAGAAAAATATGGAGGTGACACGTGGATTCTTGGGTAAAAAGACAAAATTACCCTCGAGACACACCAGAACTCCTACGCACAAACAGCGGACAATCACAACTCAATCAATGTCAAAAGTGATGAAAGTAGGTATTTATTAAAAACCTATTTCATCCATCCTCATCAAATCCTCCCCACAAGATAACCTTCAATTATTCATTCAAAATAGGATTAATTACCTAAATTAATTGATTAATTTTCTAATTAATTAATTAATTTTATAATTGATTGCAAGATATTATTTTGACATAATATCTTGCAATTACACCCAAAAACCACCATAAGTGGCCGAATCCCTTTTCTCCAAATACACACCCCTATAAATAACTCTCATTTCTCCCAAAAACCTAATTCCAACTCTCTTGCAAAATTCTCCAAATTTCTCTAAACACTTTTCCCTCAAATTCTAACTTTGGCATCAAATGTTCTTCGGCCAAAGCCCCCCCCCCCCAAAATTCATCGTGGGCACGTGAGGCTCTTGGCCTTGACCTAAGGTGTTAATTGTTTTGCAGGTGCATTTTCGTTCAAGAAAAAAAAGGCGAAAATTTGCATCAACAATGGTGACACTTGTCCCTAGTTAGTTAAGTCTGTTAAAGAACAAAAGTTAGTTAGAAGGTATTGTAGTAATTGTTGATGTAAGAAGAGTCTCTATAAAACATTGTGTGTAATACTCTTTTACATGGTGTGAAATATACATGCTTTACATTTCTCAGATTCTCTCGCTTCCTCTCGCATTTCATCTTCTTCTTCCTTAGTTAATTTGTTCATCTCCATCGTACTGTTATCATGGTATCATAGTAGGTTGTGTCACGTGTGAAGTCAAATGTCCACATTACCCCGTTGTGTTGTCCATATGTTAGGCTTGAAAATTCGCCACAAGTGAGGGAGCGTGTTGAGAATGAAAGGGAAGTAATAGCTATAGTGTCATAAGATAGTGACACTTGTCACTAGTTAGTTAAGTCTATTAGAAGAACAAAAGTTAGTTAGAGGGTATTGTAGTAATTGTTGATGTAAGAAGAGTCTCTATAAAACCTTGTGTGTAAATACTCTTTTACATAGTGTGAAATATACAAGGTTTACATTTCTCAGATTCTCTCTCTTCCTCTCAGATATCATCTTCTTCTTCCTTAATTCAATTGTTCATCTCCATTGTATTGTCATCAAATTGTATGCATCACTTGGCCCATAAGATAGTACACTAATTAATGTGATTTTAAATTATGGTGACAGTTGTCACTAGTTAGTTAAGTCTGTTAGAAGAACAAAAGTTAGTTAGAGAGTATTGTAGTAATTGTTGATGTAAGAAGAGTCTCTATAAAACCTTATGTGTAATACTCTTTTACATGCTGTGAAATATACAAGCTTTACATTTCTCAGATTCTCTCTCTTCCTCTCGCATTTCATCTTCTTCTTCCTTAGTTCATTTATTCATCTCCATTGTACTGTTATCATAGTATCAAAGCAGGTTGTCTAAATGTGAAGCCAAATGGCCACATGTGCTCCACGTCACCCCGTTGTGTTGTCCACGTGTTAAACTTGAAAATTTGCCACAAGTGAGAGGGCGTGTTGAGAATGAGGGGGGAGTAATAGCTATAGTGTCATAAGATGGTGACACTTGTCACTAGTTAAGTCTGTTAGAAGAACAAAAGTTAGTTCGGGGGTTTTGTAGTAATTGTTGATGTAAGAAGAGTCTCTATAAAACCTTGTGCGTAATACTCTTTTACATAGTGTGAAATATACAAGCTTCACGTTTCTCAAATTCTCTCTTCCTTTCGCATTTCATCTTCTTCTTCCTTAGTTCATTTGTTCTTCTCCATTATACTGTTGTCAAATTGTACGCATCACTTGGCACATGAGATAGTATACTAATTAATGTGATTTAAAATTGTGGTTTCCTTAACTACTCTATAACAAATGCCTTATTCCTGCATCCTCTGAAAGCATTCAATTTGGTCTAACAATGTTCTCTAAATTTACGCTTCTAATTTGGCGATCGAGTCTCTCTATCCTTGGATGTGTGGGATTATTATATTATTAGCAGCAAGGAATCCCATATCGTAGTTAAAACATTAAAGGAAAACTAATAAAAAGGGCTTGAAAATTTTAAGTTTTAATGATAAAAACAAAATAAAGGGTAAAGTGAATAGTACCAGAATTGACTTTTTAGTGTAAAAATGTGGTTTTTCATTAAAATGAACAGTACCGTAGACTTTTCGTTAAAACTCCCAAACATTAATTAATAGAGTTATGGTGATTTAATTAGCTCAGATGATAGATTAGAGAAAATATAATATGAGGTTACATGAAAGATTAGAGAATAAATAATATGAGGTTAGGTGGTGACAGTAGTATGAGCTGAGCTGGGGTCAATGAGTTGAATACTCTTCATCCGACATTCATATTCTTACTTTGATAGATTAGGTTGACGTATAGCTATTAAGTAAAGTCCGTTACATGTTAGACCGATTTGAGTTCCCACTGGTCATACTATTGCTTTGTTTAGATAAAAATTTGAACCACATGGACTGGTCAATTCCCGACTCCGGTGTCTAATTAGAATAACAACATGAACCCTCCTTCCCCCTCATTGTGAATTGTGAACAAGACCGTTCCCACAGAAAGACCAAACAGCAAACACACACTTCGGTTTTTTGTTAATCTTTTATATATCAATGAGGGCTCTTTATATATTTAAACTAATTGATGAGGAACTGAACTAAAGACCTCGAGTTCAAACGTGAATATTTTAAATCAATTGAATTACATATTTTAAAGATGAAATTTATTTTATTTATTTTCTTAAAAAAACAAAATTTTAAATTTTATTTCATAGGGAGAGGAATCAAACATGAGTGCCATGCATGCTGATTCTTTGCCATAATATTGAGATTTTGTAGTTTTCTCTCCATTTATAAGTAGAAGGTGACTGACGTAGTGGGATATATGACAAGGAAAATCGAACGAAATTCTAGCACTACAATCCACAAGCAAGCCCTAGAGTTCACCAAAAAAAAAAAAAAAAAAAAAGAAAGAAGAATAAGAGAGAAAACTCTCATTTATTGAATAATAGTTGAAAAATAATAGGTTGAAATATTATACCTCCAAAACATAAATCCAAACTGCGAAAGGACTTAACGTTCAAACAGGAAATAAAATGAACAGTTAACAAAGTACTAAAAATATCCCTAAAACTTTTAATGTTTAGTATTGTTCCTTGTTCATTTTCATTCAGAACGACATATTTTACGCTTGATTCTGACGTCAACGCCCGCGCTTGCATCCCTTGGATCTTTCTTCCAGTTTTGCACCTTTCGACATGTTCTTCAATCTTCTTAGCCATTTGTTCTACATTAGTGATGGACTTTAATGTTTCTTTAAAGTTTAGGATTATTGATTGAGTTGTCCGAGAAATGAACGGTGAAGATTAACTTTAAGAATAACTTTAGGAAATCGAACGGTGAAAAACTACTAGGTGGGTTGGACTACCAAATACAAATACGTCAGATTCAACTCTTATGAATTGTGAGTTTGGTATTTAATTATTGCTAGCTAATTATTTATCACATTGTATAATATAAAACCTAATTCTTTATTCTTTATTTTGGGTCATTAGAATAACAGAATAATTTATTGTGAAGGAAGAGACAAAGACCATGGATGAACGATCTAAGTAATGGGAGGGAGAGGGAAGAAGAAACTAAAGGAAATCAAGGAAAATATCATAAACACAAAAATGGAAAAATCATCAACGATAGTGTCAACACAGGAGGAGATGATGAGCACCACTACTGATGATGTGGAAGTACTTGTATTCGATGCTTATAAGCCCAAGCCTTGTAGCTCATTCCTTGAAGCAGCAATGAGAGCTCTTTTCAAGTGTTTCGGTGCTGAGAAGATAGAACAAGTTGCAGAGTGCCCAGCTACAACTACAGAAACCCCACTAGCAGATATGCCAGTCTCCGATGACCCACCCGCAAATCCAGAAGCTGCTTCTCCTCCTATTGAAACAAATCCGGAGAGCTCGGTAGGTTTCTTTCTCTCTCTCTCTCTCTCTCTCTCTCTGCAGTTGAAATAATGTTCTGATTAATTAATTAATTATGTATTACACAGGAAGTTCCTATCCTTACAAGTAGGCGAGGCCTCACCGACGGGTCTGGTGGTAAGATTAACTCCACTTCCCAGGATTGATGAGCTGCAGTCTGCCACGTACAAATTAATCGTCTGCCCAAGTATGGCAATACTGGAGAAATTATGTCGACATTAGACATTATTTATCTTATATTTACCAAATATAATTTTTTTTTTCTGCATTTGGTTTTCTGTATTATGTAGTCCTTCTTTTCCTGTTCTCCAATAAGGAGTACATTAATAAGTTTGTACTAGGCATCATCATGGGATGTAGTACATATGTAATGTAACGTGTTGATTTGTTTAGTTACAGAATAACAGAAATTAAGGGAGGTTTGAGATTAACTTAGAGTGATACTAGAACTCTTAACTCATCCTATTGTCTTATTTTTCCATCATGGTTATAATTTCACCCACCATAAAATTACGAAAAATCTAAAACTATCTTTCCACCATTATCCCTTAACTCCCTACTAGCTTAAGTTGTAAAATGTAAAAACAAAAAGACTGAAAAACTAAAAATGCAAACCAACAGCCACAACACCACCCACCCCAGCCGACGACAATAAATCAGGCACAATCCCTGCTGGAGGCATCTCCTTTTCTTTTATATGTTGCCCTTGTTTTCTTCTTCTCTTTTATTTTCCCTTTGTCTTCCTATCTCTCTATCTTATTTCCCCTTTGTCTTCCTATCTCTCTATCTATCTCCCCACACTAAATCTCTATTTAACACAATAAACATCAAAACTGAAATTTCTTACCACGTTTCCTGTAGCAATTGAAAATTAGAAAGAGAAAAAGGATGGAGAGAGTATGGGGGAGAGAGAGGGGGACGGAGGAGAGATAAATGGGAGAGAACGAGAAAGAAGGGGGAAGAGAGAATTAAGGTTGGGGTAGGAAGGCAGATGAAGGAAGGGGAGGGGAGGAAGAGGGAGAAACGGACTAGGCTCTTCATCCCAATTTTAACTTTTTTTTATTTCTTTTTTTTGCCAGAAATATATTAAATTAGTTTTAAATAGGTTGTTAAAGTCTTTTGATAAATGATTAAATATGTCATTAACGTTTTTATTAACAGGTGGATGGAGAAATAGGACATGTGGGTGGCTTTATTAGCACTCATAACTTATCATCCTTTTCATTTTTAATACTAAGAATACCGATCAATTTAGTAGTTTGGATTATTTTTTTTTTGTCAAAAAATAAATTTGTTAGATTAGATCTAATTAGATTAGGGAGTCAACGAGTTTAAATTACGTCATGGTACAAAGGCAACACTCCTCTTTACTACTATAATAGAGAACCACTTGCAATTTAGTAGTTTGAATTTGATACCATTTAATGAAACGTCGTACAAGAAACTAATACAAACTACAGAGTCATAAATATTTATAAACCTCCAAACACATAAAGTTCTCAAATTTTCGTAAGTGCACAACACAATGTTCAATTTAAGAAACTATTTATTTTCATTACATGCGAATAACATATACATATCATGTTGAAAATTAACTGGTAGATGAATTGAAGAGTGCATGGCACAGTCCAACAATATGAAAATATTATGAACAACAAAAAATAAAACGAGAGGGCAGAAAAGATCTCAACTCTCAAGTATCCCCACACACACACACACACATATCTATTATCCTTTATATTAAAGTACATACATATTTTTTTATACAACAATATACTTACACCAAGAGATTGAAAAATAAATTATTACAACAAGGATAAAAATGTTATGTTCTAACAATACTCAATAGCACACACTTGCATCCACATATAATAATTAAACATCATCATAGTTTTACTCAATGACGTAGCCAGAAATTATTCGGTTGGTGGGCTAAGCTAAAATTATTAGTATGAAATGAAATTTTTAATCCTATTTTGCCTACATAAAGTTATATAATAGTAAAAACTTGAATGTAGTAATTTGAAGCAAGAATTTTATGCTATGTTTTCTAGGTTTCTAGCCTTCAAAGCTTTCAAGTGAATAAAATAAGGAACCATTTGTGGTATGGAAGTTTTAATTTATTACTATTAAATATAATATTGGTTAAAGTGATGAGTTTATTTAACATCTATTAGCTCTTATTATTCTTAAAAACAACCTTACTTATAAAAAAAATTTCATTTCTTAAGTGAAATATAACAATTAAAAATCATAAACTAACTCAAAAACAAATATTTTTAAGCTTGAAGAACCAAATTCTCCCTATGCTATAGCCTAGGGGAGCCTTGTACTTGGCTCCGCCCTTGGTTTTACTCTATAATGGAATAACATCCTATAGTTATAAAAAAAATTACAATTCCCGTTGAATAAGTTATAATATTTTTTAGTTACGTCTTAAGAAACTTATCTTGACGTAGTAATAATTGTCAATAAATCCAAAAATAAGAAAATGTATTAACTTAAATTGGTTAAAGATTGCATTGGTTTTATCATATGTGTATTTATGAAATTCACTTGGAAAGATTAGCATTCAAAAAAGCACTAGATACATGCACCTCGCATGCGCAAACTTTTAGAGATTAGGTGTCTCCTTTACCAACCGTTACATCTTCACATACTCCACTTGTAATGCTGTTCTTTGAATTCGAACAACTTTCATTAAGGATAACTCGGTCAAAAATATTTTTTAAACATCATCACTCCAACTTCGTCTCTCTCTTCCTGTCAACCCTGCAGCATTGCATGAACGGTGGAACAACAACTTCTCCGGCTACTCAACCTAGAATCCAACGAATAGAAGCGGTGCTAACGGGAAGCGAAAAGTGCAATCGCACAGGGCCTCAAATTTGAAGCGCCCTTAAAATTTTTTGGTATCTTATATTTATATGTCATAATGTTATATATTAAAAAAATACTTTTATTAGCACTTTAAAATCTTATAATGCACTTTTATAAGTGTAATTTTTTTTTCTTTCTAAATATAAAAATTTGGAATGCACAATGAAATATTAGGAGTGTTAATAATAACACCTTAAAAAACGGTTTTCTTTTCAATTTTATTAATTATATAATAATACTATATATTCAAGTGAAACTCTAAAGTTAGAGTTTTTGAATTCTTTATTTGGTTGCTTAAGATTGAACTGTTTTTTATTATTTAGTGAGATTATATTTATAACTCTTTTTACTTATTTAATGACACTTGTAAACTTACAATCAGTGAGTCCTAAAGGTTGTTTTGATTTAAGTTATTATATTTTAGTACCTATGAAGATTATTAAAGCTTCAATGCTATGTGTTCTTGAGAACTTTACATAGAATGTATACGAAGAGAAAGAGAGAGAGAGAAAGAGAGAGAAAGAGAGTAAGAGAGATAATTTGATTTCTTGATTGTCAAGTTATGGTTACAATTGTTGTTATATAATCTTCCTTTTACGCTTCTAATCTTCCATCTCCTTATCCCAACTATATTCTAACAACTTTTACAGCTCATCCCTTTAATATATTGACAAGTGTCACTTGACTTGACCCTTGATCTTCTCTTCACTTGGATAGCTTTTCTTCACTTGTATCTTCACTTGGATCCTTATATCCCCCCTCAATCGAATGCCGAAGAGAACTGAGCATGAGATTGCCACAGTGCTGGTGAAACAAAGGAGTTGACAATCCTTTTGTAAGTATATCAGCTGATTGGTCCGCAGAGGAGACATGTTGAATCTGAAGATCTCCGCGAATGACCCGTTCCCATACAAAATGATAATCGATCTCTATGTGTTTTGACCTGGCATGAAACACTAGATTAGTGGAAAGTGCAATCGCTGAGATGTTATCACAATAAATCAGTGGAGGATTTGAAAGAGAAACATGTAAATCACAAAACAATTGTCGAATCCAAGCCAACTCGGCAGCTGTAATGGCTAAGGCACAATACTCAGCCTCTGTGGAAGGAAATTGTGTGCTGCTTCTTGGATGACCAAGAAATCGGATTTGAACCAAGAAATATAACAAATCCTGAAATAGACTGGCGATCATTGGGATCCCCAGTCCAATCTGCATCACTATAGGACTGTAAATGGAGTGATCCTGGCGTGAACTGAATACCAAGGCTTGATGAACCCTTGAGATATTGGATGATTCGTTTAACCGCAATAACATGAGACTCCATAGGGTTGTGCATAAACTAACAGGCTTGATTCACGGAGAAAGTGATATCGGGTCTAGTAAATGTGAGATATTGAAGGGCACCAACTATGCTTCTGTATTGCTCAGAATTATGGTATGGTTTGCCATCGTCCTTAAGTAACCGATGATACGGTAAACAAGGTGTAGCACAAGGTTTACAATCTTGCAAGTCAACCTTCGCAACTAACTCATTGATATACTTTGTTTGAGAAACAAATAACCCTCATGAGGTATAACTAATCTGTAACCCCAAGAAATAATTCAGTTGGCCGAAGTCCTTCATATCAAATTCCTCTGTGAGACCCTTAATCACAGTTGAAACAAGTTCAGAGCTACTGCCAGTAAGTATCACATCATCAACATAGAGCAACAAGACTACAGTACCCTTGGATGAATGTTGAACAAACAGTGAGGGATCAACTTGAGAAGCTTTGAATCCTAACCTAGGTAAAAAGCTTGTAAACCTGTCATTCCAGGCTCTAGGAGCTTGTTTAAGCTCGTATAGAGATTTTTGTAACTTACACACATAATGAGGAGGATGATTTACACTTGGAAACCCTGGAGGTTGTTCCATATACACCTCCTCTTGAAGAATGCCATGTAAAAAGGCATTTTTTACATCCATTTGTCTGAGAGGCCAATTGAACTGTGCAGCTAAAGCAAGAATCAGTCTTATAGTAGTAGGCTTCACCATAGGGCTAAAGGTTTCACCGTAGTCAATCCCTTCTTCCTGACTGTATCCCTTCACAACAAGCCATGCCTTATATCGAGTAATACACCCATTTGCATCCCTTTTAATCCGATATACCTATTTACAACCAACTAGGTTCTTATCAGGTGGCAAAGGAACCAGGGACCAAGTCTTCTTAGTATGCAAAGCACTAATTTCTTCTTTCATAGCTGCTTGCCATTCTAAAACATGATAAGCTGCCTTGAAGGTTTTTGGTTCTGTGATAGAGTCCTGAGAAGAGCTTAAAGAGGCAGACAAAGAAGAGCAAATTCTTGAGGGTCGTGGAGATAGGAGAAATCCCAAATTTGCAGAAACACACAATAGCTTTACAAAATAGAGGATTAGAAGAAGAAATGAATGCTTTTAATTGAGGGTGCGGAAGCGCCAAATCTCGTTCTCGGCGATGATACCATATGAAGATTATGAAAGCTTCAATGCTATGTGTTCTTGAGAACTTTACACGAAGAGAAAGAGAGA